AGGATGTAAATTTGTCTGAAAGTTTACTGAATTAGTCTGTGCCATTGGGTTATCCCAGTTTCGAGATCTTGTATAATTATTAAAATTTTTTCGTGGGGGATAATTTGTTTTTGATGGATGTGTGTAATTATAATTATGTTCTGCAAAATTGTTTCTAGTGAACGTTTTACGTGTTTTTGACGGTATTGTCATGGGTCTGTATGTTTGATAATCCATGTGTGAATATTTTGGGGCAACCGAAGGTTTAACGGTTGATTGTAAGGTTACTTGTGTTTGTGAAGGGTTTGTATTTCTTGGTGTTGTTAAATTTGGACGTATTGGAGAAATACTTTGTTGTGTAGTTGTTGTGTGTACGATTTCTTCATTTATGAAGTGTGATGGTGTCTGGATATCTTGTTGAGTGAGATTTCTAGTTCCATTGAGGTTTTCATTGTGTATAACTGTGGAGTTTAAACTATTATTTTGCATATCGGGTAAAAATGTATTATAGTTTAATGGTGTTGCATCAATGGTTAATGGTATTACTCTTACATAATCTCTTACATAAGATATCGTACTTATTGCTTGACTTGAGATTGATTGTGGGAAGTTTATGAATGCGGGATGAGACCATTCGGGGTCCCAAACATAGTCTGATTGTTCTGTGATGGCAGTATCATCGTTTGAGTTTTGGGGTCTAAAATTTTTTCTTGCTTGTGAAATTAAATCAATTTTATGTGTGAAATAATCTATTATGCACCATGCCAAAATTTTTTGTAAGTCGTGTTTTGTATGTTGTGAAACTTCATCTTTCGTGAAATTTTCTTTAATTATATTTAGAAAACTAGAGAGTAGTGTGATTTCATGTCGTACTCTTATATGTTTAGATGTTTCTGTCGGTGAAACATTTGTGATTGGGATTTCGTTTTCTAATATCGAGATATAACTATATATTATTGCAAAAACTTCATTGGTGAATATGGAGTTTGCTCTTTGTGAGTTATGATATTGTATGCTTTTTATATATTCTGAGAATACTTTTGAGAATTCTAAATCAAGGTCGTCTGTTTGAATTACATATTTGCTGTGATTCTGGTTTGGTGAGTTGAATTCTATGGAGTAGATTCCGTATTGTTGTGTTAAGTTACATATATCTTTCAAATAGTGATCGATAATTTGTCTTTTGATTTTTACATCTGGGAACTCTGTTTTACATGGACTGATTCCAGGTTCAAACAAATTTAAGAGTAAATTTTTGCAAAATATATGCTGTCCTCTATCAGTGGTTGCATCTACGATAAAGGGGAAGATATCATCATCATCTGGACTTTCTCCACCTGGGGTGTGTGTTGAGCTCATTTTTTCGTTTGATGACTGTTAATATGTAATTATCAATGTGTCTAATTGGTTGATTCCAATTGTATAAATGTACTGGTTTGTGTTTATATTGCTTTTTTATTCTTCTTTTTCCTCTTTTTGATGAATTTGAAGTTGTTTCTGAGTCGGAAAAATATAATTGATCGTGAATGGGGCAATTTTTATCTATAGATTCTTTTAATTTATAAAGTTCGTCTAAACTGCTGGTTTCTGATTCTGAAAACGCGTTGCGGTTTTTGGAAAATCTTTTTCGTGTAATTTGTCTTTGTTTGGTTATTATTTTTCTTTTTAGTGTTTGTCGTTTTGTTCTGATATATCCAACTGTTTGTGTGTGTGGTGTGATTACAAGATCGTATTTTTTGTTATCTATTTCACAATTGTCTAAAACGATTGTTTGTTTATTTCCTAGGTTTTTAAATGACATAAGGTTTAGGATGACGGATGCAAAAGGTTGTTAAATGATTTCTATTACTTAGACTGTTAGTCCTTACGATTTTTTGGTTAGCCTAACCTGGGTCTATTTGTTCAGGGTTGGGGAGAAAAGTATATCGATTCCGGAGAATGATTTTATACTTTCTCGTGGCTAGTATAAGCTAAGGTGTTAACTTACTTAATCTTACTTAAGGGTAGTGATTGTGTTCAGGGTTGGAGAATAGTAAATCGATCCACAAGGTTCAGGTATAATTAGAACGCGAGTAGTTCGTTAGATACTATTTTAAACTTACTAAGTCTAAGATTTATCCTGGGTCTGGTAAGAGGGGGGATCAAGTGAAGGATGAATAACCGAAGTTCTTCACTGTTTATCCTAATTTGAATGATTAGTTTTGTTCAAAAATTTCTGTTAGTCCTGGGTTTTTAGAAAGGGTTGGATAGTGAATCGACGTTTGAGGTCGTTAGACACTAGCTAAGTGGGTGGGGGAGAACAAAATTGTTCTTTTTGATCCAAGGAGAGGCCTTGATGATCAAGTTTTAAATTTAATTAAATAGGAAATGATTTAAGATCCAAGGATGAGCCTTGATGATCTGATTTTAAATTTGTATGGCAAGACTACAATTGTCAAGTAAAATTTTGTATTCAAAAAATCTTTCTACTATTTCTTGGATTCAGAATATCCAGGTAATAATCTCCGCATAGTGTGAATTCAACTTTTATGTTTCTCAAAAATTTTCAAAAAATCAGTGAAACTACTCGAACACCTATGGATAACACAAAACTTTTTTTAAATTTCGAATCAGAATAGAAATTAAATTGTGCTTCAAAATTTTTGCAAAAATTTCAATTATAACCTTTGCGAATGAACAAAGCAACACCCAATACCTTTTAGATCGGTTTCTTACAATAGGATCATCGCAGCCCTCTAATTGATACATACTTTGGGATCATTGTCACTTATCCTCGTTTCACTTATCCTCTGATCCAGTCTTAATAAATTTATATCCAGCTGTAAAAGGTCTTTTTCTTGCCTGTTCTCCCATTTATTCTTTTCAAAAGCAGTTTAAGTAATTTATCAAAACGAAAAACAGTTGATCTTCAGGCCGAATAGCTTTTGTTGACTTTTTTCTTTTTCGCGCAGACATTCCCAGATTTTCACCACATATCTCTTTGTTTTGTCTGGCTTTTGAAAATTTATTCAGCGAGAGCACACGGAGGCGTTTTTATGCTGTGTGCAAGTTTTTTTTTTTACTGATAAGGCCTCTGTTTGAATGGGGAAAATGAATAGCCCACGCTTCCAACCATTTTGAGTTAGGACCGAAGTGTATAACTCATAGAGTAATTTCGGATAGGGTACACCGTCTGCTCGTCACGCTATCTTATTTTCGGCCGGATAGATTCGTGCAACTTCTTAGTCTAATACCAATCCTAATCTTACTCTTATACTATCTAGTCTCAGGTTGTTTAACTAGTCTCTGCTAGGCTCAATAGATCTAGGGTATACTGGTTTATTGCGGTTGCTGAAGTCTTCTTGGAGAGTCAACTAATTTCTAAGTTAAATTCAAATCTCTCTGGTGCTGAAATTACAAGTAATTCCAGCACTTACAAATAAGTGGGTTGTTAGTTGTATGGATCATGATTGGTTAATATTAAATACTTTACAGTGGTAAAATATCTAATTTATCCAATCATAAAATGTAGTTTAGATCAGGTTCCAATTTGCAGCATCTTGTCTATATTTATTTGGGGGCGCAAGACTTGACTACGGAATGACAGTTCAGTTTTCTTAGAGTTCGTCGAATTCCTTGTTGTCAACAATATTATAATATTTGACAACAACGTTCTTTCTGACTAAGAGTTTGCATCCAAGCACTCGGGTTAATTAACAAAAACCAAGTCTATTTTTTAACCTCTCGCGTGAAAAAAGGGTTCACCATTCAAATCTTTTTCTTTACGTTGCAGCTTATACTTACGACCCCAAACCCTATCTTCGACTCGAAAAGACACTAATCTAACAACAAAATTGGGTGGTGCGTATTCTGATCTGAATTGGCTGAGGTCATGGCAAGCTTGTAGATCCCTCTCTTCCACATGAACATCAAAATACGTCTTGAGAAATTTGATATCTTCCGCACCGTAAGATACTCGGTTTTAAAGGAGTAAGTTGGCAATAACAACGCAATTTTTACTTGAAAATCGTTCGGTTAGATAACGCGCAATCTGTTGTAATTTCGAAATTTTATCATCTTTAGCCTTTAAGTCTTCATATTTTTCTATCAATATAGCAAGAACATGCGAAGTATCAATATCTGAATCAGTATTGATACTTCGCATGTATTGATACTTCGCAAGTATCAATATATTTTGTTCATATTTTGTTAAAATGAAGTCGGATCATTCTGTGCTACTTTACTTGCACAGTAGCCATTTTATAAAAAATAGTTGCTTTTTTTAATATCATCTTAATACCTGATGATGTAAGCGAAGGAAATGCATTGTTCAACAATAATTTTTCCTTGACGATTGGCGTTGATTATGTCAACTTCAGCACCATTCTAAGCGTTTGCATAATTTTCACGAGCACTACGTTACGTGCAAAAAATATTATTCGTTAAAAAATCATAGTTAATTCTTGAAATTGAAGTCGGAACATTCTCTTCTACTTGCACAGTAACCAGCTATGCTTTTTTATAGTTAAAACTTCAAATAAATAATACAGGTCGGTCCTTTCCGGGCTGCTTGCACATCACCTGCCCTCCCTCGTTGTTATGACTTTCAAAGAAGGTACCGAATATACATGAGTTTTTAGCAAACATTTTTTCTGTATCCTAATGAAGATACGATTGAAAAGTTGTAAAAAGTTATTGAATAAAAAACCACTTTGAAAAATTTTGAAAAATTTCTTCGCCAAAATCATTTGAGATCATTTACAGGCAATCGAAACAAAATCAAGGATTTGCTGGATATACGATAGCAGTCTTTTTTATAGAAAGATAACTTCTAACCAATAGAATTATGTATCCGGAGTAGGAATACGGCTTTGCGAACTCGATAAAACATTGTCACATGTGTTGGTGTGCCAGCAATGTCAATCAAAAGTGTTTTCTTTTCTAAAAAATATATAATTCCTGATTTTTAAGTGTCGATACAAATTCTTATAGAAAATTTGTTTCCGGAAAAAACGCTCAAAGAGCATGACTAAATTTTGTAGGTCGCAAGAAGCCGAAGCAATCAGCCATGGACAGCTATTTTGCAAACTCTATCCGAACTGAGAATACTGCCGGAGTGAACGACATGGAGTATGCCGAACGAAGCGGCACTATTTCTCCAGCCACTACAACTACCAGTCAATTGAGTTTCCGACAGTTTGACAACCAAACACCGCCGATGGCCAAGGAGATTTCTTGGAGCACTTAGCCTAAACTTGCAATAACCTCAATAAGGCAGAAAATGAGTATTAATATTTACTTTTTGAGTGATGACGATACGAGACGTGTGTTTATTTCATTGTTTGACGAATCTATCATAAATAAACATTTGTTCATCTCCTGTTATTTAATTTTGTTATATGAATAACTAAACGTCGTAGTAGTCAGACTAAAGTTAGATCATCTTATTTATAACTCACTGTTTTCCCATATGGGCTCAGGTTTCGCAATAAATCTAAAGTAGTCTTTTTGCTTATAGCTCTCATTTGATTAACTGGAAAATCAGCGAAAGGCATCCACTTTCAAATCATTCCCTAATTTGAGGAAAAGTCATATCTATGGAAAGAGTGCCTACATTACGAGGCCAGACTGTGCACTTGATAGGCGCACAGTTTTATGTCTGCAGTTTTCTGGAATCCAGAGACAAACTTTCAACATATGTAAAAATTTTGTCGGAACAATCAAAGAAAACGAAAGAAAAACAACAAGAGCGTCCTTGTTGCGGAACCCGCTTACAATTCACAAATTACACAGTTTGGCCTCGCAATGTAAAATTTTTGGTCTTTCATACTGAATGCTCAAAAAAGAGAACAGTTGAATTATATGCATTTGCATCAAATACAACATTGAAAGCTATATTTTGGAAAAAAAGCATGAAACAATTATTAGAGAAGAAATTATTAATCTGCAATACTCTTGCGAGTAATCAAAATTTTTTTTCTGAATTGAGAAAACTTGAGGTTGTTGTGGTACTAAGCAAAACTCAAAAATATGAGAGAAGTACAAAAAAACTAGTTGTTCATTCATTTCTTCGTCGTTTATAAAACAGACGTGGTCACCGATTGTTTCGGCTTCTTGTGAGCTAGAAAATATAGTCATATTCTTCAAATTTTTTCTCCGAAAACAAATTTTTTGAAAATAATGATGAGTGTTTTGCCCGCAACTCGAAGCTATGAACATTGCAAAGACAGTAGTAGGGAAAAGAAAAATAAAAGTCGGATATGCATTGAGGTGACACATTAAGACGAGAAAGGAGAGGAATGAAGGAAACCGTATGATGACGAGTGACCGTGTGTTATGTGTGGTAACACTAAAAAGATCAAATCTTGGCAAATCAACAAAATTAAGTATGAAAAAATTTGCTCGGAGCAAACAATACTATAATATTATAAGCCTGGCAATAATAGAACAACACTGAGAGGGTTTACGGCTAATTAAAACGAAACATTGAATGCCCACTGTGTCAAAGTGCTAATCAAGAAGAAACAAGGATTAAATGTTTTGCTGTTTTGCTAGTAGACCAAAAAAGAAGAAACGGACAACAAAATAAAAACCAAAAAGAAGGAGTAGGCTGAAGATTGAAATAGATGAATCACTGGCTTAGAGAGTAGAAGCACAACACGAATTGGTGCTTAGTCAAAACTGGCATTCATCAACTGACCAGCATAGACAGAGAAGGAGGATTGAATCTATCAATCGAAGTGTGCGGAAAAAAAGAGACAATTGAGACTTCGCCGTGTATTTTACTGATAGCATTACAAAGCCAAAATGTGTAGTTTGTGGGTTGTAAGCGGATTCCGCAACAGTGCTATTTTTCTTTGATTTTTTTTTGCTGTTTTGGATTTGACGAACAAATAGCTAACACAATTCATAAAAATTGTATTGCTCAAAATTGCTCCAAAACAAGCAATTTTGCGGAATCGGCAACAAATTTGAGGAATCCGGAACAATTTGTGAAATTGACCAGCAAATATTTAAAAATGTGTATAAAAAATTATGCTGTCGTGGAATCCACAACTGTGAACGGAATCCACAAATAGTAAGCAAAATCCGCAAATTGTGAGCGGGATCCGCAAATTGTCAGCGGAATCCGCATGAATTTACAAAATCTACATTTATTCGCCAAATCCGCATGCAATTTGTGGAGTTCATTGACATTTGCAGAATTTGGAACAATTAGCTATTTTCATTCGTTGCGGAATCCGCAACAAAAAAAATGTGTCGACAAGCTTAACGTAAAAAGTTTTGCGCGGAATCCACAAAAATTTTGTTAGTGGGATCCACTTACATTTTGGAACACGTTTAAAGTCTTGTCTTTAGAATTCAGTGACCTACAGACACCTAATTATGCGCCTATCTAGTGGACAGTTAGGCCTCGTAATGATGTTAAATTATATCATGTGATCCACAAGCGGGAGAAACAAGAAAGTGGAGAAGAGATTAATGTGAAATCTGACCCTGCTCGAAGGGATAGTCATTTTTTTAATGTGCTCACTTTATGTTTGGGCTTTCAAAGTCGAGCACATGTCAGTGTTTGCTAGAAAAAAATTAGTCGAGACATTTCTTGCAATATACTGTAGACTGAATTGCACTATTCAAGGCGACCGTTGATCAAAACGCGAGCAAGCATAGACTTGTCAATAGAGCTCAGGTACTTCCTGATTTTATACAGCTGTTTCAAACTGCCAAACGATGCACTGTTTCTTCAAATTAAATTACTCATCAATGGTAAAATCAAACGAGTAGACCTCTTTAACAGATTCGTAAGTTTGCCCATCAGTTTTAAAAAAACAATCTGAGATTCCTATTAAAATAAGAAGTCTTACAGTTTTCTTGTGTTACCTCCATTCAGCTTTTTTTCTGTCTTGCAAACGATTCAATAATAATTTTCGTTTTTGGCAATTTCTGCTCGATCATTCTTCTGCGATAGTTCCTTCCCTCAGGGTATTTGATCTAGCCGTCGAATAACTCTTTAAACCTATCTGTATTTGTGATGCAATTTTGTGAAGTTATTGAAGATATCTCATTTATCATCTTAGTAGGGCATTTCTAACTTGTCATGGGTAGAAACCAAGTGAGCATGGCGTATATCAATTCTTTGATTTTTACTCTGAACAGACGATACAATCAGACAGATTTTTTCTTTAAAAATATTGCAGGCATCTGCGAGTTCGTTCGCATCCAAAACCAAGTCTGCAAAGTCATGGTTTTTTCCAAGCAAATCATTTAGCGCTTTGATTTTGATATTATCTTGATTTCGTCTATTAAGTTCATATCTGAATTAAATGTTTTCTTTTTCTCGCATAAAGTACCTTTCATTGACGAGTTTGTTTTCTGAGCACAACAAGATCTTGGTGGTCCTTGGACTTCTACTAACTTCTCTCAAATTTTAGTTGCCTTCGTTGATAAACTGCATTTCATCATCAAAGAAAATGCATTCGCTCATTTGTTTCCTCTTGACTGTTTCAGGTGCAAAAGTCTCAAGGTTATTTTTCAACACTGCTTCAAATGTCTGCATCAAAGAGTGAGAACTTGTGCTTTACAAATTTTCTGGACCTAAATCAACTAAGCTATATCTCTAACGAAACTTTTTCCAAGTTTAAACGAATTTTTATAGATCGCAATCTAAAATAAAGTCAGCAGTCGGACAGATTTTGATTAAGTGAACATGCCTTTTAAACCACTAAGACTAGTTCTTTCAATTCCAAAAAGTTCGAGCAAATATTTTTGAACAAATATTGTGCTACGAAGACACAAGAGTTGACATATGATATAACGCGAGCAGTTCTAGCCTTTTTTATCAATGCTGAGACTTTATCGTGGAAATTTCACAAACTTCGTTGGGAGATTTTACTCAAGTAATCAAAAATATTTCAAATGGCAGAAGGAAAAAATAGCGGATCTCTAGAAGTCAAGTTTAGTTTGGGAAATGAAAATTTGCAAAACTTTTCGCAAGTTTAGGAAAATTAACGATGGAACTAACCTTTTTTGATATAATTTATTTTTAATGTCCTTGCATAGGATCAAAGCGCTGCTAGAAACACTTCAAACTTCTTGCCTAAACCCACGGAATTCAAATTAGGCCAGTTGCCCAATGCTAGACTCGTTTTGTTTTTTAAAACCCATTGATCTTTTAAGAGAAGGTCTCTTGATTTTGTTGTGGACATGGTTTAGTGTAGATAGTCAACACTTTAACGTCACTTCAATTACAGAGGGCTGAAAAGTCGATGAACTTACACCAATTATCCAACCTTGAGAAACTCCACTGTTTATAATTTCTTGTCCGAACTAGGGTTCTCAACTCTGACCAGCGAAGTTCTGTTTTTCAAATAGTCAAAAATTATTTCTTGAAATGGTTCACCAATTCTCAGCTGCTTATATTGCAAATGAATCAGGGTGGCATAATCTTTTTTGCGTAAAAACCATGTTCCACAAAACGATGTCGTTTTTTTTGGCTAATTTTGCTTAAAAAAATAAATGTTTCTGGCTGATTTTTCACTGAAAATTGTTTAATGCCTAGCATAGTTTTATAAAAAAAGATTTGATGTCTCTATTCAAAAGAAAATAAAAACTCGTAGTTTTCAACCAATTTTTTGACCTTTTTATCAAACCAGATTTACAGCAATTTCAGTTTCTTGTTTTTGGGATTTGTGTCCGGCTATTAATGGTTTTTAAAATATATATTTTTCATTCTTATGCTCATTTTTGGTGTTGAAACACAGTTTGCAGTAAGGCGTTGAAAGTTCTCATTTTGGTTGTCTCGAGGTAAATCAATTTGTGTTAGTTTGTATCCACTGATGTGCCCGATTTTGTTGAAGTTAACCTCAAAAGACTGACAAGAAAAAACTGACGGCGCGACATAAGAAAAAACTTAAGCGGCGCGAGTTAAGAAAAGACTTAGGCGGCGCGACTTAAGAAAAGACTTAAGCGGCGCGACTTAAGAAAAGACTTACAGTAGCGCGACTTACGAAAAGACTGACAGTGCGACTTAAGAAAAGACTTAAGCGGCGCGACTTAAGATAAAACCGACGGCGCGACTTAAGAAAAGACTTATGCGAAGCGACTTAAGAAAAGACTTAAGTGGCGCGGCATAAAAAAAAACTGACGGAGCGACTCTAGAAAAGACTTAATCCACGCTACTTAAGAAAAGCTTTAAGCGGCGCGACTTAAGAAAAGAGTGAAGCGGCGCGACTTGAGAAAAAACCGACGGCGCCGCGACTTAAGAGAAGACTTATGCGAAGCGACTTAAGAAGAGACTTAAGTGGCGCGGCTTATGAAAATTCTGACGGAGCGACTTTGG